GAGGACACAAGGACAAAATGGACACCCAGCCAGAACACAATGGCAGCTGAAGACCTTAAATGTTTCCTCATACCAAATCGGTGAACAAACTATACAAAATATGGCAGGCACCCCAAATTATAACTATTATAGTAAGGTGCACCAGTAAGGGCAACAAAAATCACAAACACAAAATTCCATCACACTTACCAACTAGCCCACAAACAAACCAGATTGACCCTAACTATGTTGATCTGCTAAAGAGTAAAGTAATGCCAGTATGTTTAATTACGTTGAGTTAAAACTGTTGGATGTTCCTTAAACTTGGTGAAGGGCCAAAAAAAAAATGTAAATAATTGCTCTTTTTCTCAATTGTCTGGATAGAAAGCTTTGGAGCGGTCATTTATATCCTTCACTACTTAGTAAGTTATTGACCCTCAAAACTAGAACTTATAAACTAGACAGTTTATTGGTTGATACATTCGTTCTGGGTCATTAACCATAAATGATGCCAGGATCAGGATGACCGTCCTGGAGATTGCACTGGTCCCATTTATAGGATTTCCACAAGTGTATATATAGCAACAAGCACTTGTATAGTGAGATATCATGGCACTCTAAAGTGCCTACAGTTTTAGAGCCACTGCAACAAACCCAGTTGGTTTGTTGTTTATCTCTGGGGTTATTTTTTGGTAACATTTTTGTTAATGAGGTTTTGAAAATGAACTGAAGGCATTGCCCATTCGTTGTGCTGCAATAAGCTGCAAAACTAGAATCTGTACTAAAATGACCAACAATCCACAAGCAAAAATTAGTCGGGGCCTTCTGCGTGAGAGTGGAGAAATGACTTGGGAGCCCAGCAGAAGTTATCAAAGACAGGGATGGAAGAGGGGATTGGATGCGGCTACCACTCTGAACACCGCCCTGTTCTTTGAATATTGTACAATTGTGTTTGAGTTTTTGCTGTTCAGGAGACACTTATTCCCCTATCTTTTCCTGAAGAGGCAGGCGTTGACATGAGAAATGCATTGAAATTGGTAATATCCATATCTGCTTCTATCATGGAAATATGGATTAAGAAATATCTTGTACATTTACACTTTATGTACTTGGATATGGGGTGAAATATTGTATTTTGAATATGTGTGTATAATGAACAGCACATAATGTACATTTTATCTTGGATTTTTAAATAGAAGAATAAAAATTGTTTGTTTTTTTTTGTTATAGAACTAGTTTGACTTGGTACCTTTTTATAAAGTCCTTTAGATTTTTTTCAGTGGTTAGGGAGCTTTACAGAACAGAACCCTCCTATCTCTTACAGCCATGTAAGCTACCACTTTAGCCTCTGTTTGATCTGCAGTTGCCATGGTGCTGAACATGTGATCAGTTATGACACCAGCCATTTGATGAATGGACAGTTCATTTGGGAGCATAAGAAAATGTGACAGTTATTCATGGCATCACATGAATGTAATCTGGTTATAAAAACCATTATATCGATGGGTTTAGTTTGACTTTAACGGCTCGTTTACACCATAGTGCAGAGATGTCAGTTTTTCTGCATGCGCTCTGCAAGGGAATCAATTGTTCTCTATGAGCCCTGTTCACACCACTAAACTAGTATCATGGGCAGATTTTTTTCTGCGCAGGAATCTGCTAGGTATAAAACTCATTGGAGCATACATGTAAACTGATGACTCTACAAGTGAAATCTATGCGGCCATTTCCATCAGTTTTTATGCATGTATGGTGTGAACGAGGTCTAACAGTGGAAGATGTCGATTTTAAAACTTCTTGGGACAGCAAGTCCTTTGTGTTGAAAAATATCACTACCTACTTGACAATCCTTGTTTTAAAATTATATTCAGATCTAATAAGTTTTGAAAGTTTGGTTAGCTTTATTCCATGTTTCATCTTTTTTTTTTGGGGGGGGGAGGGTCCCCCGCTGGCAGTCTTTGCTCCCCTTCTCCTAGTGCCCTCACTCTCCTCTTAATGTGTCTGTTGACACACACAGTGTGGTCCATCCCAACTCCCCGCTCCCTCAACAAGTTTGATTGAAAACACCAGGAGCCAACGGCTCCCACTGCCACCGAGTCTCCTGTGAAAGAGGAGAGCGAATATCTGCTCTTCTGCAGATGGGGCACAGGGCTAGATCAAGATCAGACCCAGGTTAGTAATACCCAGATAAAGCATTATGGTAGAAACATTTTTTTCTACCTTTTTTACAAGCACTCCGATTTGTTAGTTGGCCTCTTACTAACACATTCTACTACTATGCTTCCATGTGTGATGGAAATTGAATGTACCTCCACAATCACATTCACTCTACGTGGCATGAACACAGCTGTGACTCGCAGTTATTTGTATATTTAATTCCAATTTTTTTTCTCTGTATGTACATTAGTGCCAGCTTTTATTCTTTCTTTTGTCATAAAACTCCTAATGTTCTAAAATACCACATTAACTGTATCAGTATGGCTGTTTGGTTATGTATCTTGAATCCATCCATTGCTGCTTCCCTCTGTCTGCTTTCTGCAGCTCGTACACAGACTAAACACGTGTCTAACTCTTGCTTCCTCACAAGAGGCCGATTATGCATTGCTTACGCTCAATTATGTATTGGGAGTCTATTAAGAATTAAACTTATTAAATAGATAAGGAGCTCAATTTAATATTTTGCAGCAGTGCGTAACCCTTTCTGGCATATTCATGGCTGGCAAGGTCTTTTCCCTTCTTTTTTCTTTTTTTTGTTCTTTTTTTTTTTTTTTTTTTTTTTAATCAAGTGTTTATAGTTTTGCAGTTGGAAATAAGGAGTGTAATAAAAGAATACAAGTAGATAGAGCACATGTAACCAGGAGGACAATTTATGCAGAGGCACAGCCGCGGCCTGACACCAGGATAATGAAAAAACGTAGGTCATTGTGGATGACTTAAAGTCTCTGGGAGTCGGAGAAAATGTATGAAGCAACGAGAACATTACACGCTTGGCAGGCTGGCCGAGGAAAAAAATACAGGCGCCCCTGTTCCCCCGCCGTAAACGCAAGGGCCTCCGATCCGCAGCCCGCAGAAAATTGCAATTACAGTGACAAGTGGAATCAGTAATATTTTAAATATTCATGAGCTGGGGCTGCGGTGATCAATCTGGTTTTATTGTCCTTGCTCTGCCTTCTGACATAAAATAAGGAGCCACGGGCCTGTCACCCTCTTTATTATATTTTCTGTCACCAGACTTGGCTGACTGCTGGAAAGGATGTGTGCCACTTACGTTCTGTGTGTGTTTGTGTAATGCATACTACAACTACATATAGACTGATATTAATAAATGTGTGATCAGCTTTATGTTCTCTAAACATCTAGGTTGGTCTGTAAGGGGTTCTTTCACTTGTAACCTACTTTGCATGAATCTAACTTGAAGTGATTCTAAACCTTGCTTTTTTTTTCTCTAAATAATAAAAATGCCAAACTTCTCTCCTGTGTACAATGGTTTTACACAGAGCAGTCCAATACCACCTCTGCTAGGGTCTCCCGCTGGCACTCCTGGCCTCTCCTCTTCAGCAAATGCCCCCACTGTGAGCCACTTCCTATGGGACACTCACGCGGGTTCGATCCCTACCCTTGCTGTCTGTGTCTATAGACACGGGCAGTACAGCTTGGGCCTGCCCCATCACAGGATTTGTTTGACAGCAGAAGGAACCAATGGTTCTCACTGCTGCCTCTGTCCTGTGAGGGAGAGCCCCTACTGTTGGAAACAGTGCTGGATTGAGATCCGGCTGAGGTAAGTATTTAGAAGTGTGGGGGGGGGGGCTGGGAGTGCATGAAGATAAAAAAAAAAAACTTGAGCCTTTAGAACCATTTTAAGCTCCTTCTATGTGTAAATACATGCATAATATATAAAGCTGAAATGTAGAATACACTATAGAATATGTATCTATAGCCAGGGCTGCTGTTAGAAACCACGGGGCCCCATACAGCCATCCTGACAGGGCCCGCTACAACAAAAAAACTGTTTACTTTTTTTCAGTTATGACTGAACAAAGTGAGCGATCAGTACTGCTCACTTATTGTGTTCATTCAGGAAAGGAAGTGACTGGTAACATTTATTGTACCCTTCCACCACTCTCCATCCTGAAGGATCCTATTGTGTGCTTGCAGCTGACAGTGGGAAGGAGAGGATGAAACCTGACAGCACTGTAGGGGTGGGGGCACATATGGGGGTCTGGGTGGGGGGGGGCATATGGTGCATAGGGAGGGTGATGGGGAGGTCAATAACTGGAATTGATACCCTGTATGACTCTCTCTGCAGCAGCTAAAAGTGGGAGGGAGAAGAGAAGTAGCCGGTTTACAGTTGCTGCAGAGAGGGCCTTGCAGGGGATCGGTTCCAGTGATTGCCCCACCGTGCCGATCACCCACCCTTCCCACATCTTATTCACCCAGCTGTCCGGGCCCCCCTAATGGCCTGAGCCCTGTACAAGAGGACTGGTGGTGCCCCCTTATCCACAGCCTTGTCTATAGCTGATGATTAATGTAGATGTCACTGAAATTATTATTTAGGTCTTCGGTTTAGATGAATTTTAGTTTTCATGTTTCAGACTAAGAGCATTTTCAGCAAAAAATGATGTGTCCTGCCAGTTCACCTTAAATGAACTGGAAAAAGGGAACAATCTGTATTCCTTCTCTAAACTGCTAATTCCATCATCTTCTATGTAATAGAAGCGGGCAAAGGCAGACATGTCAAGCTTAGTGTGACAATCATGGTTCCTTACATAGATACAGTGGAGGAGTAAACAAAGCCATACAGAAACAAGAATTTTTTGTTATTGGATTACCAAGTGAAAATAGGAGGAAAAGCATGAAAAAAATGTTAAAATAAGTTGGATAAAGTTGTTACAGAATCAACCAATGAAAATAATGGGGGGGCATAAAAATGAATCTAATTCACACAATGCATTTTAAGACTAGCAAGCTGAAGTTTGACTCTAGAACCACAGAAATGTAACAAATGGGCTTTGTATTTTCAGGTGACCATCCATATGAGTGCGAGTTCTGTGGTAGCTGTTTCCGGGATGAAAGTACGCTGAAGGGCCATAAGCGTATCCATACAGGAGAGAAACCCTATGAGTGTAATGGCTGCGGGAAAAAGTTCAGTCTCAAGCACCAACTGGAAACACATTACAGAGTTCATACAGGTACATTTTATTATTGTTCTCTTCTTTTGTAAGGACAATCTGGTTTCCTTTGATAGGAAATATGAGGTTGATTGTTGAAGGGAGGAAAACCTGGTCCTGAAATTGCCACTGCTGTATTTATTATTATTATACAGTATTTATATAGCGCCAAAGGGTATGCTCAGCGCTGTACAGTAGCAAGGGGGATATGACATGAGACAAGACAGTAACAATACACTACACAAGGGGTTCGAGGGCCCTGCTCTTTCAAGTATTTAATTTAAATATCTTCATCTCTTTAATTTAGTTTATCTGTACCGCGTAAAGGATCAGCCCACTCCAAAACCAGTTGGGTAGCTGCAGATTCACTCATTCAGCGAGTGCTGTATGTCTCAGGCACCCTACTTGTGTCATGGATCCCAGTGTAGTAAGAGAAGTCCCTCTCGTAGACTTGTGCAGATATTTTTTCATTTATTGAACTCTGGGCTGAGGTGGTAGGGGCTCTTAATGGGCTTTATGGGTTAATTTGCTGATTGACCCTCTTGTTTACATGATCATGTTGATCAATCTTTAACCAATCAGAGCCTACGATCTATCTTTAACCAATCAGAGCCTACGGCTCAGTGTCTTAGATTAAGTGTACTCAAGTGGACTTCTCCTTGGCTGCTTTCTCTTTCTGATTAAATAACAGAACTTAATAGATTGTCCTTGGAAAGCATACTTACTATCTTATGAACTCCACATGGAAGTTTGAAGCAATGTGGTCCAAGTGGATATTGTGTAGGTATCCTAATCTTTGATGGGGATTATTTGTTGATTGATTTTACTTTCCATTTACATTTTTTGATGTGGTGTTGGAATATTTGTTCGGCCCTGTAAGGCTGGTGGTTTTGTTATCTTTTTGTTTTTTGGGGATGTGCAAAATGAAAAATCATTCTTATAAATAAAGTCTGAAAAAAAACAGTCCCAATCCCCAGGGAAGAGAACCAGTATTATCTGTATGATGAATAGTTCTGAGAATTTGAGAGCTCTAGTCCTATGTAGGAGGTATTCTTTGGAATGACCCTTTAATAAGAATATGAGATGGTACAGAGCCATATGTAATATCTATTTTTTTTTTTGTATTTAAAAAAAAAAAAAAAAAAATATTGCAGCTGCTGCCTCAGTAGTTAAAATAAACAGGGATCACTTACCTGATAATATATATTATCTTCTTTATTTGCAATAGGTCTTGCTCTTGAACCCTACAAAAATCACAACTAACTGCTGGTCTTGGTTAAAAACTGCTTATGAATGAATAATCTGGTATAATAATTTACTTGTTGTTGAAAATGTTTAGACATTCCCAAACTCTAGCTCTCTCTGCATGACTAGGCTGCAAATGACTGATATTAGACTGAATGGGTTCAAAAACGTACAGAATTTTACCGCAGAAAATTATGGTTTTGATCATCTTGTAATTTTAATTTTTCTCAGGCGAGAAGCCCTTTGAGTGCAAGTTATGCCACCAGCGCTCTCGAGATTATTCTGCTATGATAAAACATCTCCGGACCCACAATGGAGCCTCACCTTATCAATGTACCATCTGCCTCGAATACTGTCCCAGCCTATCTGCCATGCAGAAGCACATGAAGAGTCACAAACCTGAGGATATCCCTGCCGACTGGAGAATTGAAAAGACCTACTTGTATTTGTGTTATGTGTAGTTGAAGAAAAAAAAAAAAAAAAGTTTGTAGGAGAGGTGAAACAGTAATATGGGGAGGGCTGAGCAATACAGACAAGTTGAAAATCTACTTTAAAGCAAGGAAATCAAACACATCCACCATTTTTGGCCATCTCATGGGATCATTTGTGATTTTGGAAATATTCTCTAATGGAACACAAGCTCTTTTTCTTTCTTTGGGTTTGTATGTGCTCTCTCCGCTAAGATTAAATAATTTTACAAGTGGCATTAATCTATCCCAGTCTGAAAATAAATCCCATATTAGCCTAATTTTGTTGCACATGTAATTGTTCGGAGAAGTAAATTGTGTATGACAGATTTTCTCCATGACTACAAAGTCCTTATGCGCATGTGCATTGGGCAAAATATGTTCTGTCTTACTGTTGGTGAGAGGATATTCACCAATACTAAATCTGTAATGTAATAGGTACCGATAGTGAGTGTGTATCTACCATTTTGGGTTCAAGTTGGTTTCAAATTAGTCATCCACAGGTCTTTAAGATGATTCAAATATCCTCCAAAGACTTGCTTAGAGACTTCTTAAAATTTTTGAAATCAATGAAATACTTCATTTGTTTAATGCTCCTTTTGGATCCAGTTGGGTTAATGTAAATGACCTAGCCAAGTAAGCTGGATTGTTGGAAGAAAGTATCCTGCTCTAGTGTGGAGCATAACCTGTAATACCATCAGGTATTTTTTTTTTGTAGCACTGAAGGGGTTTGGAACCTCAAATTGTAAGTTTGTCTTCAATTTTTTTTTTTTTTTTTTAAGTCTACTGCTAGTCTATATTTGCAGTTCAGTTTCCGTATGTTTGCAACATGTCATTTCCTAAGCTTCCCGAAGTCAAAGTACAGTAAAAGAAAGTCAATGACTTGCTGTGGTGGCTAGAAAGAATTTGAAGTGGAGCACTTTGGAAAATATTTACTTTCATTTGGAAGGAAAATTATTAGCAAAGACGGCGACACCATTTTTGGTGAACCTAGCTGAGCAAAGCTGAACTAAGTGAAACCCAAACATTTTGTCAGCAGGTCTTTACTGACCACAGGAACACTGGCCTAATAGGTTCTGAGAATTATGCAAGGCAGCAGATAAAGTTCCATTGTGTCTGTGGCTAAAAGAATTGGTTCTAATATGGTCTCATATAGGACACATAAGAGCCAAGTTAATGGATGTGTTTGATTCATTTGCTTGTTTTCCCTTTCTTCGCATCTGAAAAAAAAATGAATTCCCAGCATCCTCTTGTGAGTCAGTACATTTTCACAGAGGTCAATTTTATTAGGGGGCTGCTTCTATGTACATAGTATGTTTAATTTTGTTTATGTTTAGCACATTGTACTTGAATTTTTGTTTCTTTTTGATGACCTCATATTTACCAGTGCCTAATTTAAGGCATTTTGTTTCCATAAGACACAATGTAGGAAAGGATTGTGCCAAATACAGAATGGGCAGGATGAAACCATGTGTCTTTTTTTTTTTTTTTTTTTTTTTTTTTTTTTTTTTTTTCTGTACCAAATATGGTATTCAATCTAGGGTTGACATGGCCCTTTTGCGTTATGCTTGGGCTTTTTTTTTTTTTTTTTTTTTTTATTTGTTTTACATTCATGAAAGCTACCTCTTAACCTGTATGCTGCATAAGGGTCCTACAACACATTTAACAATGCTTTATAGGTCCCTCTGACAGCGAATGGGTTAATTTTTTTTTTTTTTTTAATTGCAGTTCCATGTTAATCTTATGTTATGCTTAAATGCTATCATTGTTTTCATCTCATTTTTATTTCTTGCTGTTTTTGTTTTGTGATTAAGCTGCATTTATATAAAAAGAAATATAATTGGTTTAGGGGGAATAATACGGTAGATAGCCTTATTGGGGGTAAAAGCAGAGAAGACATTTTAACCTTCTTTACTGCAGAGTGGTTTTCTAAATTGACCTCTTTGTTGTACAAAGGGCTAAGATACTGCTGTTGTCATCTTTTGCTATTTGAAATGCCAAGAACCATTTTTGGACTTGTTCAGGAAGACCGCGAGAAGGGCAAGATAGGCACGTAAGGTGCAGTGCCCTTCAGCAGCCCGTCGGATTTGAGTAGACTCCGTTGAGAGGTGATTGCCGATTGGTTGATACGTTGTTGTGCATTTGGCACATTCCATTGTGCTTTGCACCTTCTTACTGAGGAAGTCTGTGTGAATGGTTTAAATGGCACCCCATATTAGAGACATTTTTATTGTAGCTCTAAGGGGTAGCGGGAGGGTGAGTGAAGGATCTGTGGTTTAAACTTGAATTTGTGAATAGAGAATTAGTTTTGTTTTTTTTTTTTCTTTTGTTTTAAATTCATAATGTGAAGGTGATTAAAGTATTAAAATATCTTGGCAGATATACATTATATATATATTTTTTGCAGTATGTACCAATGCAGACTCGTACAGTAACAGATGAATGCCAGCCAAAATCTTCAAGGCAAAATGCTTGATGGATTTCTTCATCATACACAGGGAAACAAGGGATTAAAAAGTTGATCCAGAAAAGCAAATGGCAACCTTCTCATATCTATCCCTTCCCTGAGGTTCTGCTCTGAACTTTCTCCTCCTCATACATGAGAAAAACAAAAACATTGCAAGGGGAAGGACAAATATTTGCAAAGTTGTGATATTTTTGTAATATTTGTTAGTCTTTTTGTCAGTTTTGGCCCTATATATATTTTTTTGTAACGTGAACAGGACTCTGTGTGTATGTGTATGCGTGTATGCACGCCTGGTCAATAAGTACCCTGCGTGTTCAGTTGTATTGAAAGTCATACAGTATTGTGCGTAATCAGAGACTCTGCTTCTGCTGGTGTGGGAATGTAAAACACTGCTTACGCTTTTTGGTGTATTGTCTCCTCTAATTTTTACTGGAGTTTCTAAAACATTCTATTTTTTTCCCTGTTTGATCTGAAAAGCAAAATTTTAAGATTTCATGTTGGAGTAAAATGGAGAGACAGCCTGATTCTAAAGTAATTTTTGAAAGCAATATGTTCTCTATCTGTAAAACCCAAGAAAGAAAATTAAAAAAAAAAAAAAAAAAAAATGAAGTGGAAATCTACTGAGAAGTTTAAGATGTGTGCAAATTTAGCCTATCTGATATAAGGAAAGTTAAAGAAGCAGCTAAAAAAACTCATTGCTGCAATAACAAGAATACTGCAGGAAAAGTGTGCTACCAGCTAAACTTCTCTTGACCAGTCACTAACTTTTCCAGTTTTTTGTTTTTTTGTTTTTTTTTGGTTTTTTTTTCCTTTAACATTTCATGATGTTTTTCTTATATCATGAAGGCTGAATTTTAAAATAATTGACCTTATTTTTCAGTAAAGATCTGCTTTTATATTGGACAAAAAACAGATAAATACTATTAAATACTCCATCTTTCTAATGAATTTGATATTGTAAAGCAGGACATTGAAATAATTTGCCTTGCACTTAGTGTGCATTGCCCCTCTACTTCCCGATTCTTATACATTTCAGCCATTAAACAGTTCTAAAAGCACTATAGCTACTGGGTGTGTGGCCTGTTCCCTATAGCAATTTTTGTTACATGTGAAAATTAACCGCTCAACTCCGGCCAAAACATTTTTGTAGACTTGTGTCCCTGTCCTGGAATTTTCCTTTGCTTCCACTTTTACTGACCAACAGGGAACTGCTCAATGCTTAACCTCTTGCTTCTCCCTATCAGGATTGTTTTTTTTTTTTTTTTTTCTATTGCTTTGGGTAAAATATTTCCATTGTATTAATCATTTTTATGGGAAAATCTGCTAAATGAAGACCGGGCCAAAGTTTGTCCGCAAAGGTTATCAGATTATATGTGCAGAACTGACAGTCCTACAATATCAAATTTTTCAGAAAGGTGAATTTTTTTTTTTTAACAACTATTCAAAAACTTTATGCCCCTTCAAGTAAATATACAGTACATCATTGCAATGTTAATTATAATAATGCCATTTTAAGGCTGTCTCATCACTGTCCACAGCAGATTACAGTGTATCATGGCTTTACGTACCAAGTTACTAAACAGACCTGATATGGAACATTGATCAGTGCTGCAAGATCACGAATTACATTTATTTGTAATCTGTATGAAATCCCAGATCTCTTCATTTAACCTCAAACCGTAACGTAGTGTTTTCTGTTCTTCTCAATACCAGCTGTATGTTGTCAGAGAAAAGGCTACTTTATTCTTTGTGCCTCAACATTTTTTTATTTTAATTAAAAAAAAAAAATGTAAAGAAAAAAAATTTAAAAGCAGCAATGGTGTCCAGCTACAAAATATGTATGTATAAAAAAAGTCCGCTGCAGTATATCATTATTGTTCTGCTTGTTAAAAAAAAAAAAAAAAAAAAAGAGCAGCATGCTTTGGATTTAGGCTAGGAGTGGCCAGTTGCTAATGTTTCAGTAGTCATTCATGCTAATCGAGAAACCAAACATTATCAATTTATAAAAATGTGACTGTTCCTAAAATTCAGGGGCACTTGGCTTATAAGAATAGGCTAATATCCACTTCCTAGTGTATGCTGTTTTGATGGCTTTTATTGGCTTGTCCAAACACTGACTTCCTATTCTCATTTACATAAGTTTAATATTTCGTTCCTGGTAATTTTGCTTAGAACTGACAATTTACAATATTTAGTTTCTTCATCTAAAATATTATTTCAGAGGATGACAAAAATTATGTAACATAATAACTAAACTGGAGTAGTGAATATGCAAAAAGTATGACAATACTATTTCAGCTATATAGACAAAAGCAAATTTTGTCAACTTGATAATAGTCGAGATCCAATTAAGTGCTGCTGTAGTCTATGTGCCATGTTATTAAAAGTTCAATGAACTTGCCATCTACATATATTTTAGGTTTGGGTAGATTTTAAACTTGTATCTCTTAATGGCTTCCTATATCTCTCAAGGAGGTCTGTACTTGCATCCCCAGACCCATATAGTTGCCTTGACTGTAAAAAGAAC